TACTCGATCCAGTGATTTATCCCAAGAAAATAGTAAATCCGATCGTGAGCATGCGTCAGGAGAAACAACGTTTGCATAATGCATGTTGCAATGGTCAGGGAATGTGCAATTTGCCTGTGGCGTGGACGTTTCCGAATGTTCTGGATCCTATCCATGCTTTGATTGGCGGGACTAGCTCTCGAAGCCGAAGTGGGTTTGCGCAATTCGGTGATAATCTTGCTGTACATCAAAATCACTGCGGCACATGGAATTGTATAAGAAAATAAAGGCCAACATACAGAATCAATTTTGATTAACGTATCAATCCAGTTTCCCCGTTTGCTGTGTGATGGAATGCACTCGTTATTATGATATTCCAACAATAATGGGTTGATCGAAGCCAAAGTGATGGAGTAAACGACTATACACGAGTAACATAGGGCCAAGTATATTTTCTGTCGTTTCTGATAAGTTTTATTGTACACGACAGCGTTAAGTCGATCGAAGGCAGTGCACACCAGATTACACATACTTAATAGAACGAACAACCAGAACGTGAAATAACTGAACCAGAGGTGGCATAGCATGGTATCTAGCATAGAATTACCCGTGTACCAGAAAGGGGGTCCAACGGCTTTCAGCAGCGCGACCAGACTGATAAGACCATCAAACACTGATTGGCTGAGCAGCAGTTTGGTTGTCAGAAGTGACCCCAGTTTGATATGTGCTATCCCAGCAAACACAATTGCATTGGTTGAGATACCAACCACTTGGATCAGAATGACTACAACTTTCATCCATAGAGGCATTGACTCGAGAGCTTCCGGATATGGTATGGAGGTTGTGGTGTTGGAACCATTCATGGTTGAAGCAAGAAAAAACGAAAACTGGTTCCATTCAGCCCGCCTACTGGAAAATTGAAGCGTTAATGTGAAGCCAGACAATATATGGGTTGTTACGGCCACGCGATAATAGATAGTGGCGGTGAACTGTGGCTAGCAATTTAACTTAAACGCGATTGGCTAGGTAGGGACAATTCTGATTGGAAGGAGTATTGCTGCACGCATGGATGATGAAGTAAATTGCTGATTTCATCTCGTGATGAACCGCATCCGTAAATTAAGCTGGTTCTCATATAAAGTTGGAGTGTTATTGCAAGAGGTTTTCTAAACTTTTATTCTGACCGTCCGATTATTTCTAAGGGCGATAAGCAGGTCAGGATGGGTAAATATCTAGAGTGCTTTCGGTGAAACCCTGTAACTGTGGACAATCCCACGGAGCCAAAATCACATACACTAAGATGTTGCTTCGAATGGTACATATAAAAACAGGTTTTTATCAAAAAATCATCTGAAAACTAAACCTTTTTGAATATGTACTAGGTTTTTGAAGAAAGTATTCAAAGAACACATACTGATGTGCTCAGATGTTTCGTACGACGTGGTCAGCGGCAGGCTCCACGTAACTAACAGGTACGGGTTATTGATATATATATATATATATA